GGCATTGTCCACACGGACTTAATAACTGGACAGTAGGGACCATGGACATTGCACAGGGTTGGCCTCTAGCAGACCTCAGTCTGCTCAGAAATTCAAGGGGGAAGGGAATATCTCAGGCCCACTAGTAAAAGGTGACAGGTGCTGCTTTATGTCTGATTTGGCACTAAACATGAGACCAAGAATATCAGCCTAAGAGTTAAAAATTTTAAATTAGGTTTTCTAAAAGAGGAGCAAAGTGGATACTAGAGATGAATGTATATGCAGGCGTGAAAATACATACTGTCATTCATCTCGGTTATCTCTGAGTCATAGGGTTATTGAGTGAGTTTCTTTATTTTTTGTCTGTATTCTCCAAATTTTCCACAAGGGGTAAAAGGTTTCAGTTACACCCAGAAAAAAAAAAAAAAAAAAAACCATTTAACTTTTTTAAAAGAAGACATAATCGGAAATGCTTACCGATCAGTTTTTAAGAGGTGAAATATGCAAATACGTCACAACGTCCATTACAAAACTCTCCGCCACCCCCTTCTCCAGTCTGGCAGGGCCCGTCTGTGTGGAGGGACGTGAGCAAGGACGCGCCGGGCCGGAATACAGGTGGTGGAAAGACGGGGGTGCTGAGGGGCCCTGGGAGGAAGCCCCTCTGCTGGGACAGGGAGAGGGAGGGCGAGGTGACACCCCTCCCTGGAGGGACAGGATGCAGCAGGAGCCAATCACAGCTCGCAGTCGAGTTGGGAGTGAGGTTAGATGGACGATGCCGGGTCCGCAGAGGTCATGAAGAAGGCGCGCAGCCTGCGACGGGAGCGTCTAACAGAGGGACCAAGTCAGTCTGCGGGATCGGGCGGCTCCTGGGAGAGGTGAAGCCCAAGGACATTTAGTGAAGAGGGCCGCCGTGGGCCCTCGAGGGGGTCCTGGCCCTGAGGAGACTAGGAGGCCTGAGTCATGTGCCAGGACAGGAGGGGGGCCCAGGAATGCTCGGTGTCTCTAAGAGTGACCGCAGGAGAGGAGGGCTCCGCAGTGCGTCCTGGTCCCTGAGTTCTTAGTGTGCCTCTGCAGTGAAGGATCGCGGTCTGGCTTCCGGGCCCTGCCAGTAGTGCTGGGAGAGGCCTGCAGTCGGAACTGCCTCCTGTCTCAGTGACCTTGGCCATGTCTCTCCACCTCTCTGAGCCTCAGGTCTCTCAGCGCTACAGGGAGGATGCTCGCAGGAAATACTCAGCCCATAAATGGAGTTTCTTCCTTTGGGGAACTTCGGGATTTTTGTGAGTTTCATTTAGTGGGTACCTCTTGCCAGCAAGCACGTGATCCAGGGTCTCAGGCAGGGTGGAGACAAGACTACTGAGGTCTAGGGGTGATTATTACCCAAGACTTCTCCCTGCCTCCTAGCCTCCGAGACCAAGAACAGGAACTTGAGTTAAAATACAAAGATTAACCCCCGAGGCATCTCCCAGCTAATGTTTACCCAGAAAACTGCCGAGGGGAAGATGCCGTCCAGAGCTGCCCTGGCCAGTCTGACTTCTCACGGTGCTGCTGGCCGTGAAGGACGCTGGCTGCCTCCACCTCCGCAGTACCCCTAGTGTTGTGACCTTGGGCAAGTTACTCGGCCTCTCCAAGCCTCACGAGGTGGGGATAAGACTACCCCACAGTGTTGTCTGATTAAACATGATAGCGAATGAATCCTGCTTAGCGCATGCCCTGGTGCCCATCATCACCCCATCGTCACCATCATCCCATAATCCTGTCGCAGCCATCATCACCATCTGGCACAGCCTTTGGGACTGAGGTTCTTCTGTTTGGTCGTCAGCCTCCATCTCCCCCAGACCAGACTTCCCATGAGGCGGGTTGCCTACTGCAGCCTTCCCCGCTGCCACCCCCAAGATCCATGCTTGGGAGGGAACAGTAAAAAAACGGGGTGCAGTCTGTTCAGCCACATGTTCCCACATGATGCCGGGAAGGGCGCCTGTGGTTCTGGAGTGGAAGCTCCACCTCAGTCCGTCAGGGAAATCCCATGATTTCTAGAGTTCATCAGATACCACTGCCGATTGGGTTTTCTGGCCCTGAACGTTCAAACAACAGATCTTCTCAGATCAGGGAAGGAATCGTCGTCTGGCTCCCGTGGCTGAAGATCCTGGCTCCTGTGTGCTGACGCCAGCCTGCCTGGGCCCAGCCAGAGCCCCCCGCCCCCCATCCTTCTCCAGGCCTGCAAGGTTCAACATGGGAGGGAAAGTCGGCCACCACAGCCCTGACTCTATGCTCCAAAAAGCTGGCCTCGGGGAGGAGTCATCATTACTTTAAGGACAGGGTTATGCCCCCAGGCTCCAGGGGACTGGGATGGGGGACATGGATCGACTCCTCCACCTGGAGCAGCTTGACCATGTGGGCCTTCCATTCACACGGGAAAGCCAGCCTGCCTTTGTGAGCATCTGCATCTCCATCCTTAATGACACGCAAGTGAAGCGGGACAAGTGGCTTCACCTCCTTGAACCTCAGTTTCCTCTCCTAAGACAGGGTGAGAACAGCCCCGCCTCACAGAGTCGGGGGGAGCAGTGTGTGAAAGCACTTGGCTGTCTCATGGTAGGCCGTCGGCAAACAGCAGCTGCTCTGAAGTGCCAGGCAGCCGAAACCATCGGGAGAGCACCCTGGCGGCAAAGCCCAGGGACCAGGGACCCAGGAGGCGGTCCGGCCCCAGGAGATCCAGGGCCGAAGGACTGTGTGGCCTCCAGCCTCACAGACACCGATGAAGGCCGTGCAGCGTGCTGCGGCAGAAATGGGCAGGGAGCAGCGTCCGCACGGTGCTGGCTCCGGACCTGGGTCCAGTCCCTGTGGCAGCCTCTGCCACACATGACACCCCGAACGGTGTGGGAGGAGCTTGGGCTGCAGAGTCACACAGACCTGGGTTCCAGTGCTGGCTGACTAGGCTCACTCCTTGGTCAATTGTCCTCACATCACTGAGCCTCAGTTTCCCCATTCCGAGGAGGATGTTGGTGCTTGAACACAGCTCCCGTGAGAGGAGGCATGTGCAGCCTGGCACATCGGAGCTCTCGCTAAGCAGTGACCCCTCCGTGAGCCGCCCCAGTGACCCCGGCGTCCCCGCACTCCCCCACTGGCCCAGTGCACTTGGGAGCACACCACTCCTTCTGGAAGGACTCCAGGGAAGGCTGCTGGGAAGCCTACACTGGATGGAAGATGCTGACCTAAAGCCCTCCAGCAACAAATGTCAGTCCTGCCGTGGACTCTCAAAAAAGGGGAGAGAGCGATGGAGAGAAGGTGGCCGCACCTTCTCTGGAAGTTGCAGACAGTCCACTGCGGTCACACATTTTCCTGGGGAACCTGGGAAAGAAGATGCAGTAGAAGAAAGGTGGACAGAAGGGGTCGGATGGTCCGGCTCTGGGAAGGGAGGCGCCACATCCAACTCCACACAGGAGGGAGCTCGGAGCCGGAATCGGAGCAGAGGAGGAGACGCCCCCACCGCGGGGCACAAGGGATGTCACCGTGGAAACGTCCAGTGTCAGCGCTGTCCCGTCAGGGCGTGGCTGGGGGAAAAGCAGGCCTCAGAGCAGCCTGCGTAAGCACAGGGTTGTGACGTGTTGTGACACGTTACGGTGTCACATCCAGTTGCGAGGTGCATGACAGGTCTTGCCAGTCACCGTGAAGTTCCTGAAGCTTTTCAGACATTAGAGCAGATCCATCATTACCTGTAGAGAGTCTCATTGGCTCACTGCATCACAAGCCTTTGTGAATGGTAGACAGGGAGGACGCAATGCAGCCCGTGGGTCGGGCGTCGAGCGTGCCAGGGCCTCGTGTGTGCTGCAGCTCAAGCTGGGGCTGGGGCTGGGCTGCGGTCAGCCTGTGACCATCATCTGTCAGTGGCCCCAGCAGGGGAAAGGGCTGACATCCATTACATTCGAGAACTTGGGGGGCCAAGCACACGCTGCACCACCTGACAAGGAGCAGCTGATGGGCTGGATGGGCGGGGTCCCGGAGCAGCCGACCTAGATGACCATCAGGCTCCCACTAGCCCTGAACTTGGGCCCCTGGACAGTGGACCCAAGATGAGCATCGAGGACAGTTCCGTCCTGAGTGGAGGATGGAGGGGCAGGGAGCAACGCAGCCCCCTCGCGAGGACCCTGAGCTCAGCTATGGTGTAGTGCACTGACCGCAATGAGCGAGGACGTCCCCACGCCAGCCACGGGTGTCCAGGGCCATAGGGCAATATGCAGCCACCCAGGACTGGCAGCGGGGAGCAGAGGGAGTGTTTGAACAGGAAGTCTGGATGTGTAAGTCGGGTTATGTCGCCGTTTGGCCAATGCACAAGCAAAGCGGCAGCCCAGGGATGGACCGCGCTGCAGGGCTGGGAAGAAGGTTGAGGACCAAGTGGACACAGGAGGTCTCTCTAGGAGAGAGAAGGGTCACGAGAGGAGAAAGAAGGAAGCCTCTCTGCAGGTCGGTTGAGCTCCCTGCTGACCCCAGAAACAGCGTTTTCTGCCGGGAAGGTTCACTGTTGGTGGCTTCAGGTGAGACAGGAGCCAGCTGGGCCGCCCGCGGAGAGGCCCCAGAGCACGAACTCTCGGACAGAGCAGGTCACGGAGCCGGTCTGCGGGGGACCGGCCAAGAGGACCTAGAGGAGGGGAGTTCGGGGGTGCCCCGGCTCACGGCTGCGTCCGCCGCGCTTCGACTGGGCTTGCTGGGTTTACCGTGGGCTGTTCTGGTTCCGCGGCCTTTCCTGTTAAACCTGGGGCAAGTGGGCGTGCCACCTTGACCCTGGAAGAAGGGTGGACATTTAAGTTTTATAAGTTAAGGAAATAATGAGCCAGGGACCTGGGGACTTGCCTGGATGGAGGCTCTGGGGGTGTTCGTTCCCTGACCTGGCAGCTCAGGAGGCTGGAGGTTGGCACTTCCTGAGCTAACGGCCACCGTGTCGGGGATCCTCGCGTCCCCTTCAGAGTATCTGGCCTTTCCATTCTGTTCTTAAAACTCAGCCTTTTTTTTTTTTCTTCCCTCTGAAGCAGGGGACGTCTCTACGCCACTCTGGGGCCCAACTGGCGGGTTCCAGTTCGGAATTCTCCGAGAGCCCGGAGCTGCGTCTACAGGTAGCTTTTACGCACGTGCTGGTTTATTTGGCAAATAGCTATAGGGTGCTCGTTGGAGGCCAAACACTGTGCCAGATCCAGGCTGTGAATGAGATGGACACAGCCCCCTGCCGCAGCCCGCGAGGCCACTGCTACAGCAGAGGCAGAAGCGGAACCGAAAGTCGCAGGCGCCCAAGGTCTTGGGTGGGGGCAGGGTGCCCTGGGAGGGGTGAGCAAAGGAGGCCTCCCTGGAGAAAAGACTAGAAGAGCGATAGGAATTAACCAAATGAAGGGAGGGGAGGCGGAGGGACAGAGTGGCCCCAGCCAAAGGGACAGCCCCTGGGACCAAGACAGGAAGGGCAGGGTGGCTGAGTGCGGGGCCGCTAGTGCTGTGGTCGGTGTGGGATGAGGCCTGAGAGGAGGGTGAGGAGGCTGGCCTCAGAGGCAGTGAAGGGGTGGGATGTGACAGGGACGGGAGAGGACGGGGTGGCATGACCCCAGCATCCTGGCTGTGGGGTGGGGAGCACACGGGAAGAAGGCAGACGTGGACGGTGTGAGGCCACGGTCGCACATGGGCGGTCAATCGAAGGAAGATCGGGTTCTGCCCCATGGTGGGAGGGGTGGTGGCTGAGGTGGACAGTCCGGCGTATTTAGGACACGGGATCGAGGCATCCTTGGGACTGACTGGGTTGCAGGGGCAGAGGGGGAAGAGAAGAAAAGCCCTAGTTTCTGCCCCGAGCAACCGGGTGGATGGTGGTGCCGTTCACGGGAACAAGGAAGGAATAGGTGGCTGTCCCTGGGCAGAAGCTCCTGCGTGTGGGGCCGGAGCTCAGGAGAGAGGTCTGGGGGAAGGAGGGGGTAGGGGGACACCGCCTATGAACATCTTCACCTATGGGTGGCGCCTGAATCCCCACGGCAGAGGGTGAGAGAGGAGCCCTGAGGAACAGGTACAGGGCATGGCCGTGTGTGGGCCACCTGTCGCCTGCCCGCCCCCTCCCACTTCCTCCATTCCCCTCCAAGGTCCCTGCCAGCACAGGAAAGAGGGGCTGCCCAGACCTCAGGTTCCCCAAGTGGAAAGCAAGCCCACAGGTGCTAGCCCAGGCAGCAGCCGGGCAGAAGCCACCGCAGAGTCAGGGTAGGGTGGGGGTGCTGCCAGGGGCCTAGGTCACAGGATGCTTGGTCACCAAGCTGCGGCTTCGCAACACTTAGAAAGGTGAGGGAGGCGACAGTTCTCAGCTTTGGGTGAGCCCAGGGCCACCGTCCTTCATGCTCTGCAGCCTCGGGGCCCTCCCCATCCCGGCCTTCCCCAGCAGCCTGTGGCAGCATTATGGACTCCGCAGTGGGGGACCCATGGGCCCCAGTCAGTGGGAGGGAGCCTGACCTCAGCTCCTCCAGGTGTCTGACCGGTGCTGTCCCCTCAGCCCCACCGGCCCGTGCATCTGTGCGCTGGGCGGCTCGGCGGCCGTGCCCACCATGGAGGGGCCTCTGCGGAGGAAAACTCTGCTCAAGGAAGGACGGAAGCCGGCGGTAAGTGCAGGCCCGTCTCCTCCGGGGGCAGAGGGGCGTCGGGCACGTCTCCTCCGGGGGCAGAGGGGCGTCGGGAGGGGCCTGGCCTCCGGCCACCAGCCACGGTTCTGGCCCTGTCTGTGCCACTGAGTGGGCAAGGAACTCGGTTTCCACATCTGTAAACTGGGGTGGAATGTGCCTGTGTCCTAGCGGACTTGACAAGGGTGTCACAGCACGCACAGTGAGCGTGCAGTAAACACGAGCCGGGCAAGCGCCCTGAGGGCAGTGGAAGCCTGAGACCCGGGAGTCCGGTGGGTACTGCCCCTGAGAAAGTCCCCTCGGCCCGGGACAGTCACGGATACAGTGCCCCTCTCCGCCTGGCCTCACAGAACAGCCACAGCAGGACGGTCATGGAGTCAGGAGGCCTTTCACGCTCCACCACCATTCCCAGGTCCCCGTGCTGGACCCGGAAGCCATTGGCTCCACGACCCTCACCCATGGCAGGGCCTCAGCTCCTTGCAAAGGCCTCTCTTCCACAGAACGTCCGTAGCAGCCGCCTCCAAACCCACCTGTGAGCTGCGTCTCTGGGCAGCATCTGCTGGCATCTGTTCTGCCCTTCCTCTCCTGCTCTGGCCCCTGCTTGCCCCTGTCCCCTGCTCACGGAGCCACCTGGAGATGCCCTGTCCTACCAGTGCCCACCATGAAGATGCCAGGGCCCTAGTCCAGGTGCTGCCTCCAGACAACCCCGTCTGCAGGTGCCGGTGGCTCATGGGTGAGGAGCAGTCTTCACCCCAACCCTCAGGCCACACTCTGTCCTTGGACCCAGAGTGTCACAAACATACAAGGGTGACATGGGGCCTTATGTCTAGCCTGTTGCACAGACCCGCCTGCCTCTCTCCCATGCCCAGAGTCTGGGCCCCAGCCTTCTGAGACCGGGGCAAGAGCAGTGTTTTCCCGAACGCCCGTCAGCCCAGCAGTGACTGATGAAATCAGTTCTGTGGGTCACAGCCCATATTTTGGAGTAGAACAGAACAAAAAAAATGATGGCGTGCCTGACACTAAGTGCAGGCGAGCGTTATTCACAAAGCCTCCTTCAGTTCGACCCGCATCCGCATGTGTGTTGTACACACCTGTGGAGGTCATCGACCAGATCTGAAGGCCACTGCTTCCACATTCGTGGTGACGCAGCTCCACCCGGTGTGGGGAGGGGGCCTTGCAGGCTGTGACACAGAGCAGTCTGCTCTTGTAAGCTCAGCCCTCCAAGACCAAGAGGGGTATCGGCTTGGCCTGTGTAGAACCAGAAGGTCCCTGAAGTGATTGCCCCCGGACGGAGGAGCAGCGCCCCCAAACGGGGAATTCCAGCCTTCACCCCTAGAGAAACTGAACCCGGGCCTGCCGCTGGGCCCTGCCAGGTTTTTCCACGTCTAGCCATGAATTCTTCAAATGCGATGCCGTTCAGTCTCCGCCAGAGCACCCCATCGCAGGCGTGCTGCTTCGAGGCTCCGGTGTGCCATGTCCCTGTTTTAAAAATGTTTTTCCCCAGGACATCCCTGGGTCCAGGTCACCTGGACACATAGAAATCACGCCTCGGCACTGCCCTAGACGAGGCGAAGAAGGAAGGCTCTCTGAGTCAAGCGGAGGAGACGGGGAGTGGGGCTCGGGGCCGATGAGCTCAGAGGCACTGATGGCGACAGCCGCTCTCCTCTAGATCCTGGGTGGAGGTGGCAGTGAGCAGGGTGGGAGCCGGGGGAGAAACGAGGCCTTTGCCGGCATCGATTCGGGGAAGGGGCCGCCCTTCCGCCCACATGGCTGGTCCGTGACGAGGCAGCCAGGGGACCCCGCGCCCCCACCACACACAGCATTGTTACTCTGCCTCTCCTTTCTGGTGTAGCTGTCCTCGTGGACCAGGTACTGGGTCATACTCTCAGGATCCACCCTCCTGTACTACGGAGCCAAGTCCTTGCGGGGAACGGACAGAAAACACGTAAGTCGCACGAAAGGACCCCCCGTGCTGGGCCCTAATCTCTCGTGAACCGCGGGGCCCGGGCAGAGGCGGTGGAGGTGGTAGGTGGGGTGGGAAGGAGCCTCATGTGGCCCAGGTCGGCTCTCCTCGGGGAGTGGAAGCTGTGAGCCTCCCGGCTGCGCTCTCGTCCTCCAGTATAAATCCACACCTGGCAAAAAGGTCTCCGTCGTGGGCTGGATGGTGCAGCTGCCTGACGACCCCGAGCACCCGGATATCTTCCAGCTGAATAACCCCGACAAAGGTAGGCGCGGGCCCGGAGCTGGGTGCCTGCAGCTCCTGTCTGCCTCGTTTCACCTTCTGCTAGATGCACACTTCGAAACAGCAGGAACCTTTGTGGTTGCTGCTTTCTCTCTGCTTTAGATTCTGACGTTCACGGGGTCCCCTCGCTAGTCCACAGAAGCTGCTCACACCGTGATCCGTGTGTCCTCTGAGCAGTGTGCGTGGCATGTGCTCACAGGAACCGTTTTTGTGGCCTCACCCGTGGCTCCCAGACCCCGTTACCCCCGGAGCTGTAACCTCAGCGTTTTGTAATAAATAACATAATGCCACGTGGCCGGAAGGGTCTTGGGTCTCGGGAGATTTCAGGGATGCCCCTGACATTTCCTGTGCCACGAGACTCTGGCAGTGTCCTGGTCCAAGGTCAAATCAGAGAAGAGCCCTTTTACTAAGTGCCAGCTCTGACTTGCCCAGTCAGCTCCCAGATCTTCCTGGTTCTTGCCCCATGACCATGCTGGGAAGATGGAGAAGTTCTAGGCACCATCCTGTCTGAGAGCCCTGGCTGCACTGACACTCAGAACAGGCCCTGCTGGTCTCAGTAGCCCGAGTCATGTGACAAAACCCCCAACTGCCCGGGTCTGGCGTTCTAGCCAGGCAGACTCCCTGGAGCGTCTTCCCACCTTCACAGGAATGTTCTAGTGCAGCGTCCGTGTACGTAACGATCACCTGGGGATCTTGTCGAAATTCAGATTCAGATTCAGTGGATCCGGGAGGGACACCAAGATTCTGCGCTTCTAACAAGCAGAACAGACGACGCCTCTGGTCTAGAGACCTCCCCTGGGGGGTCAGAGCTCTAAGGTTTCTAGCTGAGAAGTCAAGAACAGGCGCCTCAAGGAGCCCAGGGAAGGGGGAGGAGAGGGACCGAGGCGCCGTTTCTGAGCGATCAGACCCACGTGCAGCTGCCCTCGGCCCGGCTACCACCGGGGTTGCTTCCTCAAGGCTCTGAGCCCAGATTAGAAGCAATTTCTTTAGCAAATAAAGGCTGTGCCCACACAAGCTTGACTTAAGGGCCTTATGGCCGTGGGGACCGCAGGCCACTCTCGAGCCTTCGCCCAGAGGAAAGCGTGGCCACCGATAGCGGGAAATGTGGCACCGGGTGGCCAGGGTCCCCGGGAAGAACACAAGGAGTCTGGGAAGTCGGGTGGGGAAAAATTACGTCTTTGTTTTTCGTGACCTCTAACGCTTTAATGACGAGTATTAAACCAGAATGTTCATATTCCCTGTGACTTTATCTCCGAGAGAAGCCGCAGATGTTTTCACGTCACATGTTGGTGCAGACATCTCAGAGTGCCATTTCTGCTCATCTCTCTGAAATGACATCAGACCTGCTCCTGGGTCCTGTGCATTAATAAGGAAGCACAGATCTATCTCCATCACCCGTTTGCGTTTTAGTAGTTCGATAACTCTATTTCGGTATTGATTTTCTTTGTTTTATTTTATGCATTGGAAAACATTATTCTGAGAAGAGTCCACAAGCTTCACCAGCGCCAAAGGCACTGTGGGCCGAAAAATGGTTAAGAGCCTTGGTCTAATTGAGCGCCGGGAGCACGGGTTGGGGGAGGGAGGCTCCCTCTCTGCAAGTCCCATGCTTGCCTTGGGCTGCTCTTGACCTTCCTTAGTTTGGTTCCCATGTTCGTGTTTATCCGCCTGCCACAATCACAGGCAGACCCTCCCCTGTGACCCTCTTCTTAACCAATGGCTTCTCTACCCGTCAGGCAATGTTTACAAGTTCCAGACTGGTTCTCGGTTTCATGCAATACTGTGGCACAAGCATTTGGACGATGCGTGTAAAAGCAACAGGCCTCAGGTAAAGTCCCCAGAATCTTGCTTGTCACCTGAAATAAATACCCTCTCCCACCCTTGCTTGGGACTAAGGGTCCTTCCCTCAGAGCCTAAGCTGAGCTCCCAGGCTCCCTCTTTGGTCAGCCTTTTCCCATGAGACTGGGCGCCCCCTGCTCAGCTGAGAACAAAGCCCCCGTCCCTGTGTCTTGCCCACTGATGGAAAGCCACGGAAATATCCATCGGGGACAGTGAGGTGGCAGGTGCAGTATCACCCCAAGGTTCAGGCCGCAGAATCTATTTAGATCATTCCCCCCAAAGTTAATTCATGGGAATACCCCAAACTTATCCATGGGTCCCCTGCCACCCCCCCACTCCCCACGCTGACGAGTGGGGCTCTGGTCTGCTGGGCCGGCGGTGGTTCCCTCCCCACCACGCCCATCCACGCCCACCCATGCCCCGCCCCCAGGGCCAGGCATCACCTGAAATGCTTCACAGGCAGGACGGGGCCCACACCCTCCCACCGCCCCTGCGAGGCCGGTTCCCTCACTGTCTCCATTTAGCACCGAGGACACTGAGGCTCAGAAAGTGGCAGCACTCATTTAAGGTCCCACGGTGAGTGAGGTCTGGCCCGGGTCTGCCCCACACCAAAGTCGACACTTGCTGTCCCTCGGCTCCCCCGCCTCCCGCGTCCCGGGCCACCTCTGGCTCCCTCAGCCTCCTGCAGCTGAGCTCAGGGCCCAGGAGCACAGCCCCTGCTGCCCAGGCTTGTGAGAGGAATGGCTGCCCAGCCCTCAGCACCAGGCGGATGGGCCAGAGCATCCTCACCCTGGGCAGCAAGATGCCAGGATGTGCGGTCCTGGCCCCGCGCCACCCTGCCCGTGTTCCCCAGGGATCAGCCAGAGTCGGGAGCTGGGGCGGTGGGTTCCTCAATCTGGGGCAAGAGCACCAGGGCTTGGAACAATGGTGGCAGCAGCCCCGAGGCCCGAGGGCATCTCAGCAAAGGCCAGTCCGTGCCAGGCACGCGGGTCAGGGAGGGGAGCGGCTTCAGTCGTGCTGGTCACGGCGCCATCACGGCCCCTCGGCGGTGCTCGCACGCTGGAGGAAGGTCTCCAGCGGGAGGGAGGTCTCCAGCGGGAGGGGGGTCTCCAGCGGGAGGGGGGTCTCCAGAGCGGTGCTCGCACGCGGGAGGAAGGTCTCCAGCGGGAGGGGGGTCTCCAGCGGCGTGTCTCCTGCGTCCATGCTGTGGTTCTCCAGCGGGAGGGAGGTCTCCAGCGGGAGGGAGGTCTCCAGCGGCGTGTCTCCTGCGTCCATGCTGTTCGTTCCCATTCAGGGTTTTCGCCTGTAACATAGACGAGGACATGGATGACAAGCCGACCAAATTCTAGGTGATAGAAACTAGAAAGCGGACTTGGCAGGAAGTCCTCGACAAACGAAACAGTAGGACAAGGCCGACACGGGGACAAACTTGGGGTACCACGGGGAAGCTCACAGTAAACTGCATTCGAGCCCCTCGTATGCTCACGCATGCACCCAGAGGCACGTGGGCGGGAACGTCCCCTGCGGCATCCTTGATAGAAAAGCCCAGACGCTTCGGTCCCTTCCATCAGCCCCCGTCATGCGACACCTGAGGGCAGCTGCGAGTGTGAGCGCTGAAAGGAGCTCTGTGATATGAGTGAAAAAGCGAAGTGTGAAAACGTGTAAGGGTGACCTCGTTCATATTAAGATACGTATGCGTCCTTATGTATGCACATAAATTCCTAAAGTGATGTACGAGAAACCCTAACTGTGACTTCCAGAGTGCCTACATACGTTTCTCACATTAAACAAATGTAATTGCCCATCTACACGATGGGAAGACCAGGGGACTTGGGGGACAGTCAGGTATTAGGACTTGAACAAGGCTGGTGCCACCTGAGGTCACACTGAGAGAGGAAGTATGTCCTGACTTCCTGTGCACCAGTCACACGGCACGTATCTGGGGTCCGTCATCAGCTCTGAGCGCGACTCGAAGAGAACAGAGCACACACAGGTGGCCCCGGGACCTGTGAGCAGGAGGCCGGGGTGGCTCCAGGTCTGACAGGGACCGACAGCACTGCGGTGGCCCCAGCCGGGAGCACCAGTGGTTGCTCTGAGCAGGAGCCTATCGTCCCCTCCAGGGGGATGGGAGGGAGGCAGCCTGAGGGTGACAGCCGGTCCGCAGCAGGTAGCTGGGAAGTGAGTCAAACCCACTGGACAGAGCAGGTGTTTGGTCAGAAGGCCGAATGGATTGAATTTCATGTGTGGCAAATGCGGGGTGCCGTGGCGAGGTGTAGCTACGTTGAAGTACCTTTGTCCAATGTTCAGACCTGAGGGAGGGGACTTTCTTATTTTCCTACTCTTTTCCCTTTTTATTTCTAATTTACTTTGAACCAAATATTCCCTCTCTGTGCTGTACGTAATAATAAAAAGTTGGCAACAGCTGAATACTCCACATCAGAGGATTCTTTCGGTAGCCACAGCCCATCCGCCTGATGGCATACAACGAAAGGGGCCCTCCCCACGGCAAATGTCAGTGACTAAGACGAAGACCGGTTTTCTTTCGGGGGGGAAATTGCATTTCTTCACATTGCTTGAAATCACGCTGAATCCACGGAAACCTCACAGCCCATAACCGCTCTCCTGATTTGTTTGTTTACCATTCTGGTACAACATGAGCACGTGCAGTGATTCCTGATACATTGCCTAGGGTACCTTTTTTAAAAAAACTGTCTTTTATAAATAGAACCATAACTGTGTATTTTCTTCTGCGACTTGCTTTCCTCCCACAGTGCGTTCTTAAGATTCATCTGTGTCAATGTGCGTAGCTCTCATTCCTTTATCGGTACTGATTTTCCGAAATCGATTCCTCTGCTAGTGATCCCAAGAGCGATTCCCTGCTTTTTGCCATTTGGAACAACGCTGCTGTCACCCTTCTCATAACTGTCTTTTTTCCAATTCATCACTGGGACCCAATTGACGCCAAGATGGATTGTTTTTGGTGAAATGGCTTTTCATCCGCTCTCCAGGACCCCCTGAGGCAGTGCTGGAAAAGGGGGCCCAAGGCTGGGGGAGCGTTAGCAGTTTTGAGGGGAGCGGGAGACCCCCCTCACCTTGGGGCTGGTCGTCCCCGCAGGAAAAGGAACCGGGATCTCGTCCTGGGGACACAGCTGTGGGAAAGTCTCAGGGTTCCTGATCTCCCCAAACTTACTCCCTCTCCCTGTGCTTCCACCTGCCCATTCCCGCCACTTCCAACCCCCTCTCCCCGGCCGGCTTCCCTTCCCTGGGCACGCGCCCCTTCCTGCGGGGTCTGTGTCCTCTCACTCCAAGCGCAGTCGTATTTTGACCCGGGGAGAGTGGTCGAGAGCGTGGGCTGCGTCTCAGCCCGGCCACCTGCTCGCTGAGCCCTTCACTCTCTAAGCCTCAGTCCTCATCTTTATAATGGGGATACCTCCAGTACCGGCCTCCTGGGGCTGCTGTGAGGGGTGGAGGACACGATGCATGTGAAGTATTCCGAGCGGTGCCTGGCACACCGCGGTCACTGAACAGATGGCAGTGGATATTACTACCGTGCCCTCTCCCCACCTGACCTCATCCGTAGCCTCACTGGGCAAGGCCTGGTCCTTTCCCTCAGGGACCACCCCTTGTCCCCTTCCGAAAGGGTCAGAACTTTGACAAAAGGCTGAGCTTTCTCTTCTAGGTACCTGCAAACCTTATGTCATTTGAATAAGTCTCTGCGGGACTTGGCGTGACTTCACAGGCTTCCGGGAGGCCCGCCCAGGACTGGTGGTGAAGCGCAGGTCCTGGGCACAGGCCATTGGCCAGGGTGCTGGGAGACTCACAGCCGGACTCGAGGGGACGCAGCCTGTGGCCTCCCAGTCCAGAGGGCCCCAGCCCCCAGCGACTCTCACGAACCCCATTCTGCAGCTACACCGCCCTCCCTCCCCGGGCCCTCGGCCGGCCGTCCACCAGCTGCAGCTGTGACCAGAGCGCGTCCGGCCTGCGTCGGGTCCGCCGAGCTTCCTCCCGCACGGGACTGGACAGTGTTATCCCACGTGAGGGGCCAGAGAGAAGGACCAGGCTGTGGAACTGGCTTTTACACCCCAAGTGCACGGGGTTGCTCGCCCACAGGGCGGCCTCAGATTTTGTACAACCCCCCGAAGCGTCCTCTGCGTGTGTGTGCCGTATACATGTGCGTGAGCGAGTGTGAACTCTTCGAGAAACATGCATTTTGGCACAAGACTCGTGATATCACACACTTCATTGGCTTTGAGGCCCTGCTGGAACCTTGAGTGACAGCCTTGTCCACTGAGGAAGGGGAGAGAGCACAGACCCCTCCTGTGTTAAGGGTCCCTCGATTTCTTTTACTGTAAACGAACAATGCCTTAAATCGTGTCTTGTTTTCTGTTCCTATGGGTGCTATTCATCTGGAAGGCCTGCTTTCTGGGCCCGGGTCCCTTCCAGGCCTTGTTGCTGTCGGCTCTTCTGAGACAGAACCCGGCTTCTGGACTGTGGGCTGGGCCGCCGGCCTGCTGGCTTCCTCCCACGCCCTCCCGCACAGGGCCCGGAGGCCCTTCTCTTCTCACCCCCCCTCCCCCCAGGCCAGGACGGGAAGTTGCAACACTTCTCCCAGCTTCTCAGAAGCAGCTCGGAGGCCACCAGGCTCACAGGGGACAGCTGCATGGAAGCTGCTTTGCATGGACCTCCCCCCGCCCGCCGGCCCAGGCTTCTGCTCTCATCATCTCGCCCCTTTGCCTCACTGCCAGGGCAGGGCCCACCGGGATTCCTGATCACTCTGGGGAGCTGAGTGACACTGAGGCCTTAAGCTCCCCGAGTCTTGGCCCCAAACCCAGTCACCAGCAAGTTTTCCATCATCCAAATCCAAGGGCACAATCGTTGATGCCCATGGTGACAAGACAGCAAAGCCCTGGGGAGTGAACGGCCCAAGTTCTACTTTCAGTTAAGAGCTCGTCACCTGAACGACAACCTTTACCTGTCACCGTCATATTTTTAAGACTATTTTATTTTGCACAAATACATTTTTATTCAAAATAATGAATAAAAATCAACTTTATTTATGGTAGCTTTATCACCATAGCTCCCCTATTCCTCCCTTTCTCTCTCTCATCGGGGTGTCCCGATTCTGAGAAGGAAACCCTAAAATGATTTTCTGAAAGAAACTGAATTTCTGGGTCGTGGTTTCATAGCTCACAGTGATCAGACAACAATCCACCCCTAGAAGTTTCTGGGCAA